GCGAGGGGCCCCGGGCGGCCCCCGGCCTTGGCCCCGCTGGGTCCGGCAGCTGCCCACTGAAGAACGGTGAAGGTGAAGGTGGCGTGGAAAGCCTGTCCTGCCCAGGTAAAGTAGGGGACATCAAGCAGGGGAAGCTCTGTTTTCTTCGGGGGAACACCGTGGAATTGGCAAAGCTTAATCTCCGGGTGGTGAGCCAAATCTAGGTGCAATGCAAGTGGATACAGGCGCTTCTAAAAGCCTGGCCGTTTCTCCTCTGCCTCTTGGCGTGAACGCCGCTGCTCAGGCACAAGCCTTCTCCGTAGTTCCTGCCATCTGCAGCACTTTCCCTGTTCCGCACCGCTGCCGTGCCGAGTCTCCATGTCGGCTTGTCCTGTTCGCTCGCCCCTTTTCCTGAACTGCAGCCGCTGCGTGTGTGAAATCCCTCGGCTCTAGGTTCTGATCTTCCTATGGTTTTATCCTCACCTTGTTTATTCTGAAATTTTCAATATCTTAGATTAATGCTGCAAAATTAAAAATTGGGTGATGTAATATTGTCGGTCGACTCCACATCTCACCTGTAGTAAGAAGAGATAAAGATGGTACTGCTCTGTCCACAACTGAGGCCTGAGACACAGCTCGCAGTAGAGAATATACAAAATAAGCTTTTGTGGGTTTTATTGGTGAGCTGCTTTAAGATTGCTTGTCCTTGGTTCTTCTCTGATGCTCGCAGGTCTTTCCTCAGTCCTTTGGAAGAGGCTGCCGTCCCAGCATCAGGACGGGAAGGCAGATTATTTAAAAGCAGCGTTTCCAGCACTAGGTTTCGAGCTCGCTCTTTTATGCCTGCACTGGTAATGTTTTAAGGCCATGGAATCTGCCTAAACCTGTACCTGAGATCTAGAATAGGCAGGAAATAAATTTCCTTGGCCCGATGCTTAGCACACAGCTAATTTCCAGCTTTCCTAGGAAAGAGGAAGTTGTGATGTGTTTTATATGATCGGCCTCTCCTCTGGGTTTCTTCAGTGGTTTTAGTTCCTCAAAAAAAATTAACCTAATATCCAATTTTTGTGCTCCAATTTGTGACACTGCAGAAGATGCTGCTGCCTCGTAGCTGCGCAGACTCCTGATGTGATCTTTTCCCTACGCATTTGGCTTATTTGTAAAATAGTTAGTGGCATTAGTATTTACTGTTCTCTCTCGCTGTTTGAGAAGAACGCGGCAGCTGGGACTTCTGAACAATTGTTTCAAGCTTTCTGCAGGCATGGACAGGGAATGCTATCTGCATTCAGGTTGTTTCATATTTTGGAGATTATCTTCAGTGATGAGAGCTAGAGTCTTAAAATCGATTGGAAGTTTAAATTGTGAATCGTTGACTTACTGTGGACTAGCTCACCTTGAACCCAGTTAAAGGCATTTTGGCAGGCCGTCCTCATGTTTCTTTTCTGATACACTCTAATTTTGAGAACTTGATAAAGAGTAGTTGCAGGAATATTGGGTTTGCTCTTCTTGCACTTTTCATAAAGCTCAGCCTGCTCCTGTGCCCTTTGTAATGCTGAGGGTGAAGTATAAAGGCAAAGTGAACGCAGAAACAAAGACCTGAGATGAAAGTAAGGGTAATGGTGTGTCTGATGCCCATGGGTGTTTCTTCGTGATGATGGGTTTCCTGTAAGGTAGTTTCTGTTCGGTCACCTGGGAGTAGGGGAAGATCTCCTTGAGATAACTGCTCCTAACACCCGCTACAGTGACTGCTGCGAGGAGTGTACAAGGTATGCGAGGGGAGCAAGAAACTGTACAGGTTACACAAAGCAGCTGCAAATGCCTCAAAGCTAATCGTGGCCGAGGAAACTGGGGCTTCCCTGTTAGCCCCAAAGCTCTGAAAAAGTTCGGGTTTCAATCAGCTGCCAGTGATTGCTGCTTTCCCAGGCCCTTCACCCTTGCTGCTAAAATGTCTGATCCTGATGTTAAGATTTGAGACTGCTGGGTAACCTGCCTTTTTTGCCTGTCACTTAAGATTTACAGTTTTCTCTGTTGTTCATCTACTCGTTGAGCAGCTTGAAAAAGCTGATCTCAGTGCTCCTCTTGCTTGTCACTGCCATTTCAAAGCATCCGCTGGAGTTCTGCATCTTCAGCATACCAGTTTCGAGTTTCTCCTATCCATTGAGTTCATGAGGAATTATCTGTAGGTGCATGCTGTGCCATAGTGAGTAAGGATTTTCTTGCCAAATCTAACCTAGCACAAATTGATCCTGTCACTCAAGGGAAAAAACCTGTGAGCGAGGATATTTCTAGATGCTCTCTCTTTGCAATCGAACCACAGACGTGAGGCCGATTTGCACAGTTTCGACTGGCTAAACCACTTCAGAAACATTCAGTTGAATCTGTTCCCTGCCATTTTGGGAGTGAGTACTCTCAAAATGGTTTCTGTGCCTGAATTCTGTCCGAGAGTGTCTCAGACACAATTAAGTTGCTACCCAAACCTAGGCTGTACGGCAGGCTGCGTGCGGAGGTGTTAGTGTGGACCTGGACAAGGCACTGGTATGCGGGTCCGTGATGCCAGCTGGAATGCAGAGTGATAACGTAATACGCTGCGAAGCTTAGTTATGGGCAGTTTTTTTAGGAGGATGCTAAGATGCTGATCCATCCCTGTGCCCACCCTTCTTCATGGTCTTCATCAGATTTGTGTCAGAATTCCTACAGTTCTGTGCAGCAGAAAGTGTTAGATTTGAGACAGTGTAAGCCTCGGGTTTAATTTCTCTAATTACAAGGAAGATGAAAAGGAAGTTTGCTTTTGGAGTGGAAAAAGTTGTGGTTGAAACTCCTCATGATTTTAATAGGTCTGTCTGGAAACGCTTTGAAAACTCCACACCTGTTGATGCCCCTTCCCCACCCTCAACAGTTATTTCACCTGTGAGAACAAATCCTTTTAAGGTTTTCACCACAGCATAGGGGTTTGCAGTTCCACGTATCCCTTTAAAGTAACCTGTGGAAATGTTGCATCCCTGTCTGCTTGGAACTTCACAGAAGGCTTATTGTTCTAACAGCTGGGATAAGCAGTAATGTGTGCATGGGTACTGGAAGAGGCTCACTTATGATCATATGTTTAAAGCTGTCATTGTGTTAGAAATACAGTTCTTATGAGGGGGAAGGGGCATCCTTGTCTGCGTCTCGAGGAGTTGTTTGATCAGATTTAGCTGTTCAAACCAGAAAGCACGTGCACTTGTAAAAAGTAGGCAAGTTGTTGGTAGTGGGGCTGTAAGGTGTAGAGCTGCCTTGAGGCAGGCTTTACCTATTAGTCTGGTAGAATAAAACTGTTGCTTAGTTCTGCTTTAAAGCCTTTTAGGTTATCTAAACTTCTGTGTAAAATCGATGGCTATTGTGAAGGCTTGGTGGCAGCCAGGGGCTACTTGAATAGCAAGGGAGCTATTGCATTCATCTTACTGAGGCTCTTTTGTTGCAAGCCAGAAGCTAAAAGCTAACATCAGGCTCCTTTTGGTTTTGAGATACTACCAAGTGGTGTTTGTGAGGATGACTTTAAAAATCTGTATTGAAGGAAACTTCAAAGAATTCTTTTTTTTTTTTTTTCCTTTCCCTTTTTTTTTTTTGGACTTTTGTTGGGGGAAGTCTAGATGGATGGGGACAGGTGAAAAAGGCAGAAGGCTCTGCTTTTGGTTTAATTTCCCTGGTTTTTTGTTTGTTTTTTTTTTCCTGGGGACTTACCTGACTGAAGTGACAGAAGTCTGGTTCTAACCTTTGAGTTCAGGTGATAAGCTGTGGCTTCTTGGACTCCCCAGATAGATGAACTATTTATTGCATTATGATTCTGAAATTTCCTTCTTTGTGTATTTATTTCTCATTCCCTTGACTCGTCTGGAATTGTTTTATTGGTTGGTCAAGCAGAGGAATCAGAAAGTGACTGAAGAATATCCCAACTGCTACCGTAAGAAAGCGAGGAGGAGAAACGTTCTCTCCTTACGAGTTATTTGTAACAAAAATAAATGCTTCAGCTCACCACTGCAGTTTCAGTCCAGAATCCTCAAACTATTTTTGATTCCTCTGTGAAATTAGCAGAAGTAGGCAGCAAAATATCTTCAGGGGTCTGATTCAAAGTGTCTAGTTACACCCTAGTGCTGAGAGTCAGATGCCTAAAGGTTTTGTTTCATACTTCAGTAATGAAGTTGTTTGACTTGAGCAGTGAGAAGATCGAGCTGTTTGTCTTCTGTCAGTTTTAACACAGCTATGGGGTGTGTTGATCCTAGAGTGTACCTGCACAGTAAGAGCCTCATCATCTCTCTCTTTTCTTTTGAGGTCATGAAACGTGTACGCACAGAACAGATTCAGATGGCAGTGTCCTGCTACCTCAAGCGCCGTCAGTATGTGGACTCGGAAGGTCCCCTAAAACAAGGGCTGAGGCTGTGTCAGACTGCTGAAGAGATGGCAGCTAATCTCACAGGTAATCCTATCGTGTTTTCCATGTATGCCTCTTGCCAGAGTAGTGCTGAGTGTGAGTTGTGTATACTGGTCACAATGTGAATTTGTCTGCACATATGGACAGCTCTTCTTTCGGAATAAATTTCCCAGTATGAAGTTGGTGTGAGTTACAAACTTCTGAAGAATGAAAATATGGATGGATCAGTGAAACAGCAGGCTGAAGTAGCAGGTGAATAGTGAAAAATGTGTTATGTCGTGTCCCAAAGAACATGAAGTCTGGTGAGTAGTGGTGCTTTGGGACAGAATTGAGAAGAACCTAGATGGAAGAATTAAGTAGAAGCAGGAAAATCTGTTGTATCTTTGTACTCCAGGAGAGCTGTATCATATGAAGTGGAAGTGATTCAGGCTGTTTTTTTGCTCTGGCCTACTCAGCTATTTGTTCAGTGGATGAGACAGTTTATTTCACTTTCACCTCTCTTAAAGGCTTCTGAATGCTGTTACACTGTCTGCTTTTCAAATCCTGTCTGTGACAGTCTTCATTGTAATTATTTTTGTTTTAACAAACTATGTTACTGCTTGAGCACATACAAATGTTGAAAGGACACGAGCAATGTGAAAGTTAAAAAGATTAAATTTACTTGTAAAAGTAATGGAAAATGCTGGGCTGACCTTTGGGTGAAAACACAGGGAGGAAATGTTTTCAGTTAATGAAACTGCTTAGATTGTGTCAGCATCCCAGTGGTGGAGACAGTAGTTACTTGTGATACGGTTTGATTTGACAAGACGTTAGATGCTGTATAACTCTGCTTGTAGCTAGATAAGGTTGGATGCCATAGTAGCTCTTTCCACCTCTGGAGTATTTTGCCATAGTTACAGGCCAAAGATGAGTGACCTGTATGTAAATTTCCAGGTTGACACTCTCGGGCCTGAACAAAATTGGATAGTATTTAATTTTTAGAAGTGATTTACATCGTTTTAGTACTTATCCTTTCCTTGCTGTTTTCAGAATAACTATCAGAAGTTTGTTGGAACTCCCTGAAATAATACCTGGGGAAATGGGGAAGCGATGAAACCCAAGTAAAATGCTGAATTGTGTTTTAAGGGAGATATTACAGGAGAGGTGGGTAGAAAGGTCAGTTTTGAAATGGGCTTAGAACTTGGGACCAGTCCATACCAGGAAGGCACAAGAGTATCTGGAGTAGGAGAGTCAAATTGGATTGCAAACCCTTCCCATTTGCATTGGCATCGTGCACAAAAAAAATCTTTCAATAAAGAGTGTGAATGAGTGTGTGATGGAGTCTTGTCTTTTTCCTAATCTTCCACCAAATGGTGTTACTAAATTTCTCATGAGTTTGTATCCTCTTGCTAGTGCAAGGGTTTTGTGGCTGGTGATTCAGAACTTAGTCATCAGTTTTTATTAGAGCTGAAAATGGTCTGCTCTCATGTATTCAGTGGCTTACTACTACTTCTTTTCAAGCATCTCGTAGTAAGCTGTCAGTGAGTATGCTGCAGTTCCGTGAATGACTGTCGACAAAGAAAAAAGAACAGCTTTTGCTTACTCTGACAACAGAGGCTGAAAACGCTTTCTGCTGCAGTCATCCTAGTTTGGCAAACTGAGTAAAAACTGACCAGATCCTACAGCCTGGAGTGCTTTATTTCAGGGAAAGTGATCCAATATTTTTGTCTGATGTCTTTGATCATTCTCTAACAAAACTCCTTTCTTTTCTCTTGTTTGACTTTCAAATTAGCCAGCCTGTCTAAATGGGAGAGTTGCTTACTTCTGTCTTCAGTTCTGCGACTGCTTTTTTCAGTCTCCTCTGTTTTTTGTTTTAAATAGTTTTGTTCCTCAGTTTTACCTCAGCATTCCTTTTTGTGTTCTTCCAGTGTCTTCAGCCCTTCTCCACTGCTTCATCCACTTGCTGTATGTGTACAGCTCGCTTTTCACAGAATAGTACAGCAGCCCAAGTTGGAAGGGACTTCAGAAGATCATGTGGTCCAACCTTTTGTGGGAAAGGGAGCCCACATGAGATTATCAAGCATGCTGTCTGAATACATCTACAGGAAAATACAGCACAGAGCTTCCTCAGAGCTATTCTGTATTTCTGTAGAAAACTAGAATAACACTTGAGGACTGAACGAATTACCTGAGGAACAATTCCTCTTATATTGCCTGTAGGATACTACTGACACATAGGACTGTCTGAAATAATGTCCAATTATACGTCATGACACTCAGGTAAAAGAGGAATCGGTTGCTGTGAAACGGTGTGAAGCCCCATGTTTGTTTGTCAGCTGGAAGCAATGCTGCTTGTAGGCAACACGTAAGACCATGAGTCCGTATCCCTGAGTTGGGAATGGGTTCCTTTGAATTTGCTATCGGGTCACATAGCTGGGTGCAGTTACTGGAAGTGAAGTCAAGGAGCAGATGTTTCCAATAGCTGTTCTTATGACCACTGAGGAAGGTGGAAAAGAAACTGTGGTGGATTTATTGATGTATTAGAAGAGTGTGACTGGTGGTTTATTTCTACCAGGAGAAAAATATGCCTGAAAATCCACTCTCTTGTTTTGGAATCAGTTGAGCTCTTGATCCTTTTCCAGTTCCAGTTGGTAGGAAGTTTTGGGAAGGAAAAGAATTAGTATTAGAACTTGGTATAACTGTCTGGTATGTAGGGTTTGTTTACCATTTGTTTGATGGGAACAAGCTCCAGCATCATTACTGGGAACAGCAGGGCGTGATGATTGCCCAGTCGGACCGCTCCAGGCTAGGTAGCCAAAGATGATGTTCCTCTTCCAGAAGCATGAAGTGCATCTTAGTTTTGGAATTAAGTTGTTTATACAATGCATGTTAAATAGGTGGCATGGAGGAAGCACTTCATGAAGTCAAGGACAGTAAGTCGTGCTTGCATGACATGAGCAAGGTGGCAGGTCATTCCTGTTCCTGCTAAAACAAGGCCACCAGAACTCTGAAAAGTTGACCCTTGTATGTAACCCTGTGACACAGCATGAAAGACAGGCCCTCATATTTCTGGGTTTTTTTCTTTGCTTTTACAGTGAGTAGTATGTGTGACACTGAAAACTGTCACTAAGCATTTTTGAGCTACTACATGGATGTGCATGCAGTTTACTTTCTCATGCTGAATATTGATGCTATTAAAATTTTAAGTCCAAATAGTAGAAAATTTTTTTTTTTTTTTTTTACTTTAGCTGTTAAGGAACACTACCTGTATATGAGCCTAGAGTTCTTACCAGCTTTGGGTTTCTTAAGCAGGCAGGCTGTAGAAAACGCCGTGTATCTCTGCCTTTCTGCAGGTTATATTTGTTGATTTCAAAACTGATTTGAGTGACGATAGGGTATTGGTGCTGGAACCTGGATTTGTTGTTTTCCTACGAGGGGATGATAAGCAGATCCCAGGTCTCTGTTTGTGAAGGTGAATTCACCTTGCCTTGGAGAGTGGGTAAACATTCCCCCTGTATTTCCATAAGCTCCTGGAAGATAGATCTGTGTTTGATCAGAGAGGGAGAGAGAGAGGGGAGAGAATAGTGACAGGCTGCCTGTACACCATGTGCTGATCTCGTTTTAATTAGAAGCATTGAGATGAGCTGGAGGCTGGCCTATCTCTCTTCAGCATGTGAAAATTTGATGATGTTGTTTATAGACTCCCAGGGCTGTCAGAGTTGTGCCTCTGTGCGTGAGCCAAATGCTGGAACAAAAAGCGATCAATCAGGACTAGGAAGGCAAAGAGGGAGGATGGAAGGCACTGGGGGGCAGGGGAGACCGAAAGAAGTTGAAGGAGTTGAAAGTGAGAGTAATAAAAATAGGTTTTGTGGAGGAGAAAATAGTTATGAATTGAAAAAAAAAATACTAGAAAAGGAAGACCGAGTGAAACTCCTTTCCCTCATGTTTTTCTTAGAAGAGCAAATTACTTCACCTTTTAGTTAAAATTTAGAAATGTAAATTTTGTAACTGGTGTTTGTATATGTTCACAGTGTGTTGGTGGGTGTCTGTAAACTTGCACAAAGTCCCCTGTCAAATTTTGAGGGGTTAACGGAAGGGCAAAGGTTTAGTACCGGAGAAAGAAAAGCCAGTTCCCTTTCTAAATAGTTCAGAACCACTTCTACTGGAGTCAATACTGGTTCTGGAAATTAGTTTAACGCCATCTCAGGGGACTGTAACAACTGGGTTTGTGGTCAGATACCAGCTGCCCTTTACCGTAAAATCCTCAGCAAACAGGACACATTTGGATTTAAAAATAGTGTTTGCTTAGAGCTTGAGCGTGTTTTCACCACCACCTCAGGGAGACAAGTAAATGATCATTTTAATTTGCAGTAAATGATAATGACTGGGGCAGGGAATTTGAGACTCTGAGGTGGTGTCACTGCAGACCTTCTGCTCATGATGGGTGGTGGGCCCTGCTGAAAAACTTTGTTTTGGACATAAATTGTAGACTCATTTCCTCATCTTTTCTGAGCACAAAGTAGTAAAACTGCAGAGTATATTGTAAGACTGTGAAAGTATCTGTGATGGTGCTACTCTGAGTTTCTTGGGAACTTAAGGTTGTATTTGAAAACTTAAAAATGTGCAAAACTACTTATATCTTTACTTCATTTGACTTCTTTTATTTCACAGTCCAATCTGAATCTGGTTGTGCCAACGTTGTGTCTGCAGCTCCCTGCCTGGCGGAGCCACAGCAATATGAAGTACAGTTTGGACGATTACGCAACTTTCTCACAGGTAAATATCAGGAGGCAAGGACGAAGAAAGTAGATAGGGGTTTTTTTGTCATTTCAATGTCTAAAAGACAGTATAATTAAAAATCATGTCTATCTTTTGATTTCTGGTTTTAAGATTTCAGTTACTACAATGAGAAATATTTTTCTTTCCTTTTTTTGGTTGCCTCAGTGCTGAGTACCTTTCACTTTCTTAGGTAGCTGTCTGTGTTCCCTTTCTTGTTCAAGCATTTGGCCTTTGTATATGTGTAGATCTTCTAGACAACATCATACATGTACAGGCCAAGAAGGAAGGTTAGCATCTTACCTGAAAGACAGGAAACTTAGCAAAGAACTACATTACTTTCCATCTCCTAGGTTAGGGTTTTTAATTTTATTAATATTATTGATGGTCTAGATTTTTAAGGGACAACTTGTTCCCTTAAACTTAACTAGTTCTGGCGTTGATACTGTGGAGGTATATGACAGAAAGGAAAAAAAAAATTCTCATTCTGTAGGGTGATGCAGAAGACAATCATGACTATTAATTTTAAAGGACAAGAAAAAGGACTTTTGGGAATATCCTTATTTCTTCTATGAGTCCCAAATATGGGAAGAGAAAGCAGATAGGATTTTAGATAACACTACCAAGGAAAGTGAGGTTGCCACTCTGCCCACCTTTGGGCACATCTACATTTGTCCGGTGTAGGGATTTGATCCCAGTGTGCATAACACTAGCATTAATATTCCTGATCTTGTTGAAGTGAAAGGGAGGGAGGCAGCAGGAAGGCAAAGGCAGAAAATAGTGCCTTAGTGTTAGGCTTGCCACATAGAGCAGTTCAGCACCATTGTACTTCAGTACTGGGGGTAATAACAGATTGGGGTTTAATAGATTTTTGAGAAGTATGTCTGTTCTGTTCAGTGGCTTAGGCTAGGGTAAGCGCTAGGCATGGTTTTGGTGTTCAGATTGATTCTTGGCATCTTCTTTGTCCCTTCTACCCAGTTTTGATTTCTTACTCCCTTGCAGAAACAGCAGCGGTTCATGTGTGTTAACTCACCAGCCCGCCACAAGGCACAGCAGGACACTTAGAATCATAGAATGGTTTGGGTTGGAAGGGACCTTAAAGATCATCTAGTTCCAACCCCCCTGCCATGGGCAGGGACACCTTCCACTAGACCAGGTTGCTCAAAGCCTCATCCAGCCTGGCCTTGAACACTTCCAGGGATGGGGCATCCACAGCTTCTCTGGGCAACCTGTCCCACTGCCTCACCACCCTCTCCATGAAGAACTTCTTCCTGATATCTAATCTAAACCTCCCCACTTTCAATTTAAACCCATTACCCCTTGTCCTGTCACTACAGGCCCTTGTAAAAAGTCCCCCCCAGCTTCCTTGTAGGCCCCTTCAGGTACTGGAAGATGCTATAAGGTCTCCCATTTGTGATGCCTGTCTCCAGGGGCACTGAAGAGTAGGCAGGGGACTGGGACCACTGAATAATTTAGGAATTACTCTAGAGCTCGATAGCCCAACCTGCTGCTTAAAGCAAGGCAAGGTCAGAGTTTAATCAGGTTGCTCAGGTCCTTGTCCAGCCAGGTTTTGAAAATCGTGAAGTGTGAAGATTGCGCTACCTACACCTCTGGATTCCAGCTGCAGGACTGAGCAGTTTCCTGGGAATTACCCTTGCAGCAGCTTGCCTATCGTCTTTTCACTGAGCACCTCTGAGAAAACTCCAAAATCTCCAGCTGGCTACTGAAGGCAGCAGTTAGATACCCCCTTCATCTTCTCCAGGCTAGGCAGACCCAGCTCCCATAACCTCTCTTCATATGTTCACAGGGAACATTTTTTTCATTGCTGTCTCTGCCAACTTCCTATCTCTTCCCGTTTTCCCCCCACTGCAGTGTGAGGTCCTTGCCCTTGTTGCATTTTTGGACTAGAGCACTGGCAGAGAAGAGAGCAGCTGCTGAGTGCCGAGTGCTTTTACTGCGGGCAGACCGCTGGTTTCACTGGCTTTGGCCCAGTTTCAGTGGGTCAGAAAGGAGAATGATGCCTAAGTATGCAAATACCTGTGTACACACAGCACACCATGCACACACTCTGTAGTTACTCATCTAGAATTGGGAAAGAGGCACAGTATGGACCAGAGAAAGTCTGGACGGGTGTTCAACAGGAGAGGAAAAATAACCCCATGGAAAGAGGAAAGAAGTGTGAGTGGCAGGAGAGAAGAATGAGTTGAAAAGAAGCAATGCTGTTTGAGGATCAGCAATGCTTATTTTGTTCCAGTAATTTGGACCATTTGGGCTTCCAGTAACTCATTGTTGTGCCCCTGTATGCTGCCATGGTGTTCTCCAGCAGGGCTCCTCTCCTTAGGGTGCCCTGCAGCCGCTGAACGTGGGAGGGCAACAGCCCCGAGAAGCTGGTGAAGGAGGGGTGTAGCTGTTGCACGGATTAGTCCCTGCAAGGTACAGCACAGCCTAATCGGGAGTTTGTTACGCCCTGTACGAGGAATTACTGCTGGGATTTGCTTTGGCAGAGAGAGGGGCTGGGGGAGGGAGAACAGAGTGCACATGAGCAGGCACAGAAATAAAACAAGAGCACAGCACATTGCAGTACACTTTGGAAACTGCAGCTTCCTTTACCCCCAAGCCAAATCAGTTCCATCCCAAGCACCACATGCAAGTTTTATTGAAGCTGGGAGGAAAAAAGGCCACCATAGTTCAGGCCAGTACAAGCTAGGTAAATAACTTTGACTTAAACGTGTTAAATGCTATTTTAAATCTAATGAGTAAATTTTAAAGTCCATTCGTTGCAGTAAACAGAGGGCATAGTTGATTCTTTTTAAATACATAGGGAAGATACTACACTGTCGTGTAGTTTGAGGTGGCATTAATACCTGGCCCACATCTAAAAAGAGTTTTGAAATCTCTGCATTTTGTTCTGACAACATACCTCGCCGATTGGAAAAGTCTGTCTTTGGAACTAGGTACTATGTGTCCCCTTCAGGTGACAGAAGAGGTTCACTCATGCACCAACAGAAGCCTCCTCTTGCTTGCTCTCTGATGCCACTGTCAAGGCTTTTTGCAGTAATTGTCCTTGCTCTGCTTTACTCATAGTAGAAAGTGGAATGAGAAACCATTCAAAGTTTGTTGCTGTTTTTATACAGATTCGGATTCTCAGCACAGCCATGAAGTGATGCCTCTTCTGTATCCCCTCTTCGTCTACCTCCATCTGAACATGGTCCAGAATGGCCTGAAAAGCACAGTGGACAGTTTTTACAGCCGCTTCCATGGCATGTTCTTGCAGAATGCCAGCCAGAAGGATATCATTGAGCAGTTGCAGACTACCATGACTATTCAAGATATCCTGTCCAACTTGAAGCTCCGGGCTTTTCTGGACAACAAGTACGTCATCCGCCTTCAAGAGGACAGCTACAACTACCTTCTTCGCTACCTCCAAAGTGACAACAACAACGCCCTGTGCAAAGTCCTGACCTTGCACATTCACCTGGATGTGCAGCCCGCCAAGAGGACTGACTACCAGCTCTACGCCGGTGGGAGCTCCTCGCGCAACGAGAGCAACGGCCTGGAACCCAGCGAGGTGCCGGCTTCCATTCTGCAGAACGAGGCGGCGCTGGATTTACTGCAGGACAGCATTAAACGTGTCAAGGATGGGCCCCCTTCCTTAACGACCATCTGTTTCTATGCCTTCTACAACACGGAGCAGTTGCTGAACACTGCAGAGATTTCACCAAACAGCAAGCTGCTCGCTGCGGGGTTCGATAATTCGTGCGTGAAGCTGTGGAGCCTGCGTTCCAAGAAGTTAAAATCTGAGCCCCACCTCGTCGATGTGTCCCGCATCCACTTGGCTTGTGACATCCTGGATGAGGAGGTCTGGATACCCTTTTTCACCCCCACTCCCACCCTTTCTGATGAGGTATTTTGGGCATGCATTGTGGAGTTTCTAATAATGTCTTAAGGGGCTGTGAGGCTGTTCCACAACCTGCTGCCTTGACACACATGATCTTATAGCCTGCTCTCATCCTTGTTCTTTCCTGCAGGGGTTATAAATGCTGCACCGAGGGGCAACAAGTTTGTGCTGAGGTCGTAGTCCGAGGTGCTGATCTCCCTCCCCCAGCTGTCCTTGAACAGATGGCAGTACACCGGCAGCCCAGTACGGATGGGTGACTAGAGAAGGCTCCCTTCCCTGGAGAGCATGGAGCCTTCTTAGGGATGGGAAGATGAAACAAGGAGATGTGGGCAGTAAAAACACAGTGATGAATGGAAACTGGAAGAAAAGTGGCTCAGAACAACTAGTCAGAAGGGGAGAGACATAGGAAGAAGAAAATAAAGTACAGAAAGAGGCAAAGGAGGCTGTTCTGAGGCCTCAGGAAGAAGGAGGGATGCCTGTAAACTGTGTTTAAGGAATCACCTTAACCAGAGGTGAAGAGTTAAGATGGAAAACGTGTGCAAAATGCCTCAAGTAATCTCTAGTGCAGAAACTTCCAAGGCTTCCCACTCTGGAGTGCTGGAGACAAGGGCAGGGTTGTGTGTGCCTTCACATGCCAGGCTAGATAGCATCTACTAGTTGACTTTTTTTTTTCCCTTCCTTCTAGTCACACCCTTCCTCCCCACCTCAGCCCAGCTGCACAAGCAGCATCTTATATCTGGGTAGCGATCAGAATTTGTGACTCTTCCTTTATTTAATCACTCCTCTCTTGAAGGGGGGGCAAGATCCTCATCTGTTCTTGTGTTGAGCATTTAGCAGGAGAAACATCTGGGTTTTCTCCTCTTTTTCTTGTTAAAAATACCTAGTGGCGGGGTTCTGTTTGTTTTGGAAGAGGGCAGAGAGCTTGCTGTATGCAGGGATCTCTGGTTAGGGCTTGCTATGCTAGCTTGAAACCTAAAGGCGAGGATCCAGGTGAGATGGTACAGCCATATGCTCACCGCTTCCCAGGTTAACCCTTTCTGCAGAGTGAGCAGGTAAGTGGGTCAGACTAGCCCACGATGGAGCTTGTTTTCATCATCAGCTGTGCGAGTTCATAGGGCACGTGACTCTTGCCTGTTGTGGGAACCAAGTGTCAATAACCTGTGGCAGAGGAGAATTTCTCTGCTGAATCAGCAAGTCACCTCCTTTGGCTCCAGCCTATAGAAAAGTGAGATATGGCGAAGTTATCAGGAGTGTATCTGAGTGTTTTTTAGCACGTAGGCGCATACTTACATATCCATTATTAAATGGCTGTGGAAACTTGAGTACAAATGGCTGTTAAATACTGCAGGATACACACAATACTAATGCACGGGTCTAAACCAAAAAACTGGTTGAGGCTAGCACAGATCAAAGCCAGCATTGCTCTGAATTACTTCACCACTGACAAAACAGATAGTGACCTGGCCAGGAGGTCAGAATTAATCGGTGGAGAGGGGCAGGTAGGCAGTCGGAATGCACTGCTGGTTACACGTCCCAAATGTCAGTGAAAGCCTGTTGACTGCAAAGGAAATAAATTCCAGTGTCTGAGAGCCCTAAGGGAAAACACAGAGGCACCCATGGGGTCACAGGTGGGAACAGACCAGCACCTGCTTGGCTACCAGGGGACTAGGAGCCACAGATACCAAGAGCACCCTGACAGGGCTGCAGTCATCAGTAGAGCAGCCCAGTGTGAACAGGAGCCGTGTTTCAGCCTATCACAGGAGCGTAGTCAGCAACAATTCACAGCAATAAATCCAGTGAAAACTTTCTCAAAGAACAAAAGTTCTGAATGTGCTTTGACGTTACATCACGCTTGCGAGGATGTTAAACTTGGCTGAGTTCTGCAAGGTTTCTAAATTTATTTTGTTTTGGTTGACTTCTGTATTGTGTAGTTAGCTTTGGATACTGTATTTAAATAGTAGTGCCTGAAATAATTAATCTTCAGCTTGGTTTCTGATTTGTTGCAAGCAAACAGGTCCGTCTGTTTTTGAAGATGTAGCAGTATAAAGCTGTGCTAGTTTCAGTGGATTGTGTTCAGATTGGCACTAAAATGACACTACTGGGTTTATTTTCCTCTGTGTGTGTATATATATATATATAGGTGAGGTTGAGACTTGGCAAAAGTTTTAGAGAATGACTAAAACTACATGTGGTAGACGATTTTGACCTTATTGATGCAAAGGCTTTACATGGACTGGGAAAAAATGTCAGTTTTGCTCAGTGTGATGCCCCAGTGCACTTCACCACTGCACTTGCTTCTTGGAAATAGGAGAGTCTTACTATTTGGGGATAAAGTAATTCCATTTTCTTTATAATAGCATCTCAAGAATGCCACTTTGTAGTCTCTCTTACTTAAGGTCCGGTGTAAAAATGCAGTTTTGCAGCTGTGCAAATGGGCGTCTTGTTTGACTCTTTGCAATTTTGCCATGCTCATCGCTGGTACTACATAAACAAACAACAGAAAATAACACACTCTGTTCTGAGCCTCAGGAGTGGCAGCCTGTAAATTCTGTGAAGACTGAGACTTGACCCTATTCAGCTCAGCTTCCCAGATTCTGCTTTTAAGTGGCAGCGGTCCTTCCAGTGGTAGTAAGTGGGGATGATGCTGACACATTGGTGAATGGCAGATGGGAGGGAATTCTGGAAGGAGTAAACGTCCTGCAAATAGCCATGGTATCAGCTCCTTCATCTTTCCCTGCTAGGAGATTCCTACTGTAGGCAGGTAAGAGATACTCCCTTTTAACGTTTTAAGAGCACTGCAGGAATGAGAGAGACGACTACACCCAGGGTAACCTGGGTGTAACTATTTAGTGGGTTATAATCCACTAAATAACTTATTGTCCATTCCAAGGAAATACAAGTCATTCATTCTAACCTGCAGCAGCAACCACTTCAGAAGGAGCTAATGGATATCTGGGTAGTGCCCAGTGGTATCTTATATCTGGGAAACACATTCAGTGTGTGAAATCAGAATCCTGAAAAAACATTAGGAAGATTAATTCCCTGCCTCCCTGCTGATTTATAACGTGGGTTGCAACCTTTCTGTAGCTGCTGTAAATGGTCACCTACATTGTAGTAGCTGTGGGATGCAAGGAAGAGTGTGCTTGATCTGACAAAGAAATGAAGTTTGGTTCTGCAAGGCAGTAATTTAGTGGCTGCACTTCCAGCTGCTTTGTTAATCTGGTCAGCAGACTAACGTGGATAGGGAGGAAACGGAAAATTCAGTGACTCAGAAGCATTACAGATACACCATTTTTGGTGAGCTGGAACACCAGTGTGCAACTAAGTGGGTGTCAAACAATGCAGAGATAAGATTTGCTACCTGTGACGGTGTAGGGGAGTGGTTTTGAATGCTGCAGAAGGTGTTGGCAAATAAGCTGCTACTGTAATACAAGAAAAGTAGGTGCTTCTAAGTAAGAGAGAAGTAGTATGTGCACGCAGACAGTCCGAGTAGCCCTGTATGAATTTGCAGGCATTAAATTAAGTACCCAGAGTTGCAGAATTTACAGAAGCTATAGTACAACATAGATGACTTGAATGGGCTTTCACTGGTAACTTGTCAGGAATCTTACAGGCAGAATTAAATAGTATAAACTGCTGCAGGATTCAGCTTCTCTCCTTTAATGTGGTAACGGAGCCTATAGATGCTGTGGATTCTAGCGAGCAAGGCTCTATCGGAGGTAGGAAAAGCAATTTGAATCAGAATGGGGCTTTGCATGCTAGAGCCTGCAATTTCTCCCTGCCTCACCTCCATAGCAGAGATGAAGTTGGCTCTCAGCCACATCATAAAACTCCCATGGGTACTGACTACTCTGAAGAGAATTAGCATTGCTAAACACACAGTGGAGATGGAGAAGGACAGCGAGCTCGCTAAGTCAGTTTGCTCACCTCTGCCGCGAGATCTGAAACCACTGGAGGAGAAGGGCTTTCGGGGCTATTGCTGTGTCTGAAGCAACAGTGCCTGTGGGGCCTGAGGTCAGAGGGATGGGAGATACCATCTTGGCTGAGAGAGCTGCTCCCGACTCACCGACTTCTGCTGGTCGCCAGCAGTCCAGCAGCCCTGGGAATTGGGTTTCCTCTTTGGGCAGGAAGAGCTCCTGCATCAGGAAACAGGCCAGTTTGTGATGATAAAAGTTAAAGGGGCTGCTCACAAACAAATGGGCATTGTGTTGAATTTGACGTGCAGAGATTGTCCGAGGAGGAGTGTTACGGACTCGGTACTGAGGGAAAGCGTCTGCCAGACAGCCCTGAGGAAGGGTGGTCTCAAGCTACTTACACGGGTGCACCCCAAGCCATGGTTATCGCAGTCTGTCAGTCGGACCCCAGCTTGGTGGGCAAGGATGCTCTCTTGAGTTGAGATTTGCTGAAAATTGTACAGAGATGCTCCTTGAGTAGACTTTTGGAGACTCTTCCCCTCCATTGGGAGATTCTTTTAGCACAGCTCACTGAAGAGTCTTTAAACGTGAAAGCCTTTACTTGTTGACTATCCGCCCTGCTACTCATATCGGAGAATTACAGGATAGAAAGGTTTCCAGTGCTGTCCTTTTTGTGATTATTCATCTTCTCCTATCCCAAAATAGCTTCTTTGACCTAAATAAGCTGCATGCATTTGCTGCTCTTGAAGGGTGAGGGTGTGAAAGCATCCGGATGGAGTTTGCATGGAGAAATAGATATTACAGCCTTACTGGGTTTCTGTCACGTGTGGGGCTAAGAAGGAATGCATAGCAGACAGCTTGTCAGCTCTGCTTTCTCTTTCCGTGTCCTGCCTCTTGTTCAGGACATGGCTGTTTCTTTCTTTTTCTGTGCTGGGAGATTCACTTCCAATAATGACCGCACTAAAAGAGCAGGTGCCAAGATCTGTTTCAGCAGATCTTAGCCTCAGGTTTAGTAGGGTGCCAACAGGGAATAAGCATATGGCTTTAGCTAGTGGGAAGATGTCATTAAATGCTTCCCCCCCCCGGATTCACGTACAGTCCCAGGTTAAGGCGCTTTCTGGGGCGAGTGTGAGGCTACCCAAAATGAGGATAAAACCTTTATAAAAAGCCTAGTCTTCCTATTCTTTCAGCATTAACTCGGATGTAGCAAGTGCACTAGCAGCGTTTGCGTCTGAGCTGCGCAAACGCGCTGCATCTGAAATAACTTCAGTATTAACACCCGCCTGTTTTCCTCCTGGTGGTTCCTGTATTTGTTGAATGGATAAACATGATTTCCCTTCTTGTTTCTTTTTCTCCTCCCCAACCAGGAGGAAGAGGATGACAGTGCAGGCACAGAAATGAAGATCCTGAGAGGACACTGTGGGCCTGTGTACAGCACGAGGTTCCTTTCAGACAGTTCGGGACTCTTATCTTGCTCTGAGGACATGTCCATCAGATACTGGGACCTCGGGAGTTTTACAAACACTGTGTTGTACCAAGGACATGCCTATCCTGTCTGGGATTTGGATATTAGCCCCTGCAGCCTGTACTTTGCCAGCGGTTCCCACGATCGCACCGCGAGGCTCTGGTCCTTTGATCGGACGTACCCGCTGCGAATATACGCGGGCCATTTGGCGGATGTGGACTGCGTCAAGTTCCACCCCAATTCCAACTACTTAGCGACGGGCTCCACGGACAAAACCGTGCGCTTATGGAGCACTCAGCAAGGCAACTCGGTGCGGCTTTTCACCGGGCACCGTGGCCCCGTACTAGCGCTGGCGTTTTCTCCCAACGGTAAGTACCTGGCATCAGCAGGCGAAGACCAGCGGCTGAAGCTGTGGGACTTGGCATCAGGAACTCTTTACAAAGAGCTGAGGGGGCACACGGACAACATAACCAGCCTTACTTTTAGCCCCGACAGTAGTTTAATTGCTTCGGCGTCGATGGACAATTCAGTCCGGGTCTGGGACATTCGGAACACTTACTGCAACGCCCCCGCAGATGGGTCTTCCAGTGAACTGGTTGGTGTATATACCGGACAAATGAATAATGTACTGAGCGTACAGTTTATGGCCTGTAATCTCCTTCTAGTGACTGGAATTGCACAAGAAAATCAGGAACATTAATTTTCTTTTTTTCTTAGGGAAGTGGGTGGGCGTATGGAATGCCAGAGTCCATTGCAAGCTGAGATTACTGACTGTGAAACACTTTTCTTCCTCTGCCCCCTTGAAAGGCATGGTCAGGGTGATGCAAATGCTTTAAAATGTCTTGCCCACAAAAAGGCCTGTGCTATTGAATGGAATAAGGGAAAAAGGAGAGGTGATGACAATATGTACACGTTCTAATCTTGTAGGGATGGGGAAGAGGTGAGGAAATCCAGTACCTTGGGGAAACCAAACCCTTGGTCTAAACGAGTGAAACTGCCAACCAGATAAGCTGCTGACCTGCACTTAAATAACCTCTATTGATTGATGGGCACATCTTACCTACTGTTAACTGAGGCTTGAGTGTGTGGAGAACTACTGGCCCAGTGTCTCTTGTTTCATTTTGCTTTTGTTTTCCTGGTATTGCAGAGGACCAGCAATTTAAGACCCTTACATTGAAAGAACAGTATGTATTTTCTACAGCGATAGTTGTCCTAGATATGACAGCTCCCTATAGCACTTCTGGAATATTTTGGACTAGCTAAGTGGAAAATACCATCTTTCTTTTTAGTAAGGGGATGGAAATCTGACCTCAGTTGGGGCCCATCTCTGCGGTGTCATTTGGGTTTGGTTCCTGGTACTAGCTGTCATGTTTGTATTTATGTTCTATTAATTAGGAATCTTTCTGAATCTGGTTGCACTGTGTTTTGAGGTTGGGAGGACAGTGGAGGTAGGGGGTAACAACTAACTTGCCTTGTCTGGAGGGAGGGCAGAATAGAACTGAAGCGGTTAAGTTTGGACTCCTAATGGAAACGGGGCATGTCAATCCACCACTGCACCTCACAGAAATATTTCTGTAAATGGAAGTTGACAGTCTAGGGAGAGGGGGATGGGGAGAGAGACACACACAAAGTGACATGGGAAAAAAAAAATAGTATTACTAAATTATTGTGCGTACACAGAGGCAGCTCTGCCAGTGTTGGGTTTTTCTCAAAATGTTGCAATATCGGTTTCATGAACACTTTGTGAGATAAATCATCAGCATTTACAACAAGGATCTGCAGAAAAAGCATGTTCTAGTTTGTCATTTGGAGAGATTAAATATTTCTGCTTTCTGGAAAGAGTTATTTTGTATTTTGTTTTCTATTAAAAGCATTTAGTTTAAAAAAGAATAAAAATGGCTTGGTCGCTTTCTGGGAAACTTGCTCTGACTTGCCTGGGAAGGAGAGGGCAGGAGCGCGCTCCTCTTGCGCTGCTTGAGCCAGAGCTCGCTTGGCACTCGGGGGCTGATGGTCCTGATCACTTGGTGAGTGCTGTTTTGATATCCCCCCGTTTGCCTTCCACAGAGCTGACTTGGCAGGTCATGGCACTGACACAGCTCTGTAGGTCTCCGGAGATGCCAGTGAAGGACCTAGGTACCCCTTGTTGAGACCATGCACCAAAAGGTCTCGATCTGTAGCACTGCGTGTCAGTCGGGGGCTTGATGGTCTAAAATGCCTCGTTTGAGCAATGTCACAATCCTAATGTCTTCTAGACAGGCTGTTGGTATTGAGTGATAATTCCCTTTCACTTCCCTCAGACCTTCTGGACTTTGAGAGAATTCTCTTGGGATCATCAGAGTTTAGACGACAGCTCACAATTGCTTCTTTTGGTTGGTTGGTTTTGGTCTACATAAATTGGTAAATGACCAAAACCTTTCATCAGAAAAGCGTTTGACCTTTCTGAGACGAGTAACAGCGTGCGCTGCGGCTCAGCTCTGCAGCACCAGAAACCCCTCTGTACGCTTGGAGTTGAATGGCACTGCTGATCTTCTGATGTGCTAATGATGTGCTTCAAACCTACAAACTTTTATGTATTGTGTGGACAGTTTTTGGCACTCCCGGAAGTAAATGTTTGAAGGTGGGAAGCCAGAAAATAATCTAGACTGTAAGAAATGCCTGCAGTTCATTGACAGGCTAAATTTCGAGGCAGAACTGGGAGAAAAGTATTGAGTGGGAAGAAGGAATACCATTAAATCTAGCAAGATTTGGACTGTAATCTCTATTAATTGTGTATATTTCAGAAGTCTGCTTTTGCACAGATCCCTTTTTCTGTTTTAAATATTTATCTTAAACACAAAAGCGTTTAAGTTGACGTAGCTAGGCACTCAGATGATGTCAGAACAGGGAGTGTTGTTGGTTGTGAGTGTGTAATGCAGTTCTCAGTTACGTAACTGGGTACTCCTTCCCCTGCAGAGCTCTGCTCGCTTCGTGCACCGCCTGGACGATGCGCCGTGCTGCAGGCACTGCCTGGTGTCAGGCAGTGGCTAACAGGAGGCCCTCCAGGAAGGAGGACATATAGACAGTGATCCTTCCGTGGTTTACACACCCCTGTCTTCTCACAGTTACTGTTTGTTGGGTTTGGGTTATTTTTTTTCAGTAGACCTCCAGAGCTGCAGGCTACGTATCTGATGTATCTGTGATCACTGCTGATGGATTTAGTTTCTATTAATTTTAGTCTCGTCCCTTGAATTCATCAGCTGTATACTTGTAGCTTCCGCAGTTTGCTGCAGCAAGAAGTTCTACACCTTGGTTTTACTGGTGGGGGAAGTATTTCCTTGTTTTTGACATCTGTTATCAGATAATTCTCTGTTCCCTAACCTGTGGAATTGATAAAGGCAATGAACAGCGAAACACCCTTTCCAATGGTGTCAGGTAGTCCAGGCCGCAGTAGATATAGACAAAGCTGAGGTACAAGTCCGTGCTTAATCACTGAATATGAATTAAAGGAAATGGTATTTGCTGTAATAAACTGCTACACCCATGCACAGGTCTGTGTAGAATTTGCCCTTCCCACTCTCAGCAGTGGCGTCTCCCGAGCAGCGTGCTGCCACGCTGTTCAGTCCAAGCGTCTTAACTCCCCGAACGGTCAAGTTCAGCCTATTCCTCCCCATTCTGGTTCCTCTGTGAGAAAGCTGTCTCTTAGAAGTGCCTTCAGTCCAAAAACATTTTACAGAAATTGTATTTCCATTAACAGATCCTTCGGGTTTGCCAAGAAAAATAAAAAGGACTTCAGGCCATTTTGCTAACCTTGTTTCCACTGTGGCTGACTGTTAGTCCTCCAGGCTCAGTGGGTTCTTCAGCAAAGTCCTGAAATGGCCTTCCTTCTGAGCAGTGTCTAGTTGCTCACCAGGCTCTAAAACCGTACTGTTACCAGACACCGATGTGACAGTTAAATTAACTGCCTGGGTGTCCCTTGCCAACGACTCTCCCGTCATGCTGCACGTTAGCTGTGGGGTTGTTTTTTGTTTTTTTAAAGTACTGGATAGGAGCCCAGGCTGACCGAAATAACTCAACAATGCTCACCATGCTCAGTGTATTTCAAGTACAAAACACTGGTAAACTTTGGACGGTAATCTGGTTTTAACCATTTTAAGCGTGCACCGGAGGCTGCCGTACAACAGTGCTGAGCAGCAGTTGTACAGAGAAGGTGGTATATTCTAAGTGCCCAGCTTAAGACAAGGCATTATCCACCACATCTGTCATCCTGCAGAATCATTCTCTTGGGGCCCTGGAACTCTTGGAACAAGGCAGCTGTACTCTGTAACTAAAACGTGCACCCTCTGTTCAGACAGAAGGGATGGGCTGCATGAAGCTGAGGGCTAAGACAAGGAAGAAGGCTTCAGAGTTGCGCTTGCTTTATTGGTGGCCCTCCTTTCCGTCCTAGTCCAAAACCTTGCAGTTCCATTTAGGATAAAATTGTCTTCTCTTTGCATAAGTTTGGGACCTTTGGTGAAGTCGTGGTCTGCTGTTTATGACAAGCCTCTTTTTAAGCTGTGGCTTAAAATTGTTTGACTGAGGTAGTAGGCTGTAACATACTGAACTAACTGCTTCCATCTGGGAGGAGCTTGTGATACTCTTTGGGACATTAGGGGGCTATCCTGAATTCCTCGCCCCTAACTGGGTAAGTGCTAGATGAGATCACTCTCTTTTACTCTTAGGTAAGTGGGCTACCTAGAGAGAAGCAGTGAGTGCCATGGCTCAGTTCGGGGGCACAACGCTCCCGCGGAAAGATCCAAAGGCTGGTTTGTGCATGTTATCTTGGTAAGTTTCTAAAAGCCATAGAGAAGAGGAAGGTGGACAGTAAGGGAAAGA